TCCATTGTCTCCGGAAGACGCTCACCTCACCACATTACCCGCGGGGTAACGCAGATCTAAAGCGAAGAGCAATGCAAGTTGAGATTCGAAGAGATCGGAGGAGGAGCAGCAGTTCGACAACTGAAGAAGCAACAACTCTGACCTAACCCCACCACCACAGACACCAGTCAATATCAGTCCCCAATACACCAGCCGTTGTCCTCCTTTATCGGATTTTATTTCATTTTATTTTATTTATTTTATTTTTATTATTATTTTAACCAAATTTGCATCTACCGCCTTCTGGTTTTGATTTGTATGCACATAACTCCACAAGTTATAAAAGTTGGTAAGACACGTACGTAACTCTTTTTATAATTTGCACCGAAAAAGCAAAGGTTTCGTAGTTGACCTAAATGCTCTCAACACTAATGAGACAAGTTTTTAGTTTTCAATTTTGATTTTATCTTCAAAAGAGTATTTTTTGGGGTAAATTATACATTAAAAACACAATTACCTTATAAGTTTACTTAAATATCTTTAATAAAATTATTTTTATATTATTTTGTTAAAAATATTTAAGTAAATTTAGAAGATAAATTCTACTTTCCGGGTACAATCAACTCTAAAAAACATGAATCCCTTTTATCTTATGGTGCAAAATATGTTTATCCTATCCTTGGAGGGGGAGAATGTAGCTATAACAAACCACAAAGTGCTCGGTATCCCCATATGGGAGAAACTCTCCCGGCATTTATTTTTCATTTATAAAACTTGAACTCGAGATCTTATTTAAGAGAAATCGATCTCCTTCCACTCGAACTCACAGGTTGTTGGTTAAATTTTTTTTCTTTGTAAAACTAAAAATCATTTCTTTCGCTTTGCGTCAAAGTTACAGTTAACTACAACATGAACATAGACAAATCAAATGTTTTACTTTGGGAAATGTGAAGTCAGCATCAACATTGATTCTCAAAAACAGATTGTTGTTTGAAAGAATGACGGATTCAAGACTTTGAAGCTTTGAGAACACGTCAAACTCTACAAAACCACTCAAATTATTGACCGAAAACTCAAGGTGGCATTGATCCATTAAGTTAGTTATGCGATAAGTCTAGATGGGATAGTATTGAAAACGTACCCCCTAGAAAAGGAATGGGACCAAAAGGCTGATTATTTGAATGATCAAGAAGGTTAAGTTGCGTGAGGTTTGTAAGTGATGATGGGATTTGACTCCAAAAATTGTTATGTCGGGAGTTTACAAGAGTAAGCTTAGACAACTTCCCTATTAAAGCTGGAATGGAACATCTCAAGTTGTAGCTAAAGAGAACTAAAGAACATAATGACTTTAGATCTCCTATTGACTTGGGAAATTCCCTCCCCCCACAATCCTTGCGGTTTACTTCATATGGTAGGAAAAAAAGGGAAAAGTTTTAAAAAATGAGAGTAAAGTTACAATTCTGCACCTAGTTTCAGTTAGTCTCTTAGCTACTTAGTTGAGTTAACATTAATGCTTTGTCATTAATTCTCTGTAAACCTAAAACTGGACGGGTGAAAGCCTCGTGTATAGCCCCACATGGGGAATTTTGGATTAATGGAGTAAGCTTACCATTCTCTTAGAAAAGTGTTTTAGAAATCATCCACTAGTCCAGTTAAATAACCAAACAAGAAAGGAAGTCATAGAACACACAAATCAAAACCAACTTGAAAAAGAGTGATGATGTGAATATTGTGCTGAGCAGACAGAAAGAAGTTTACCGGGCAGATCATGCTAGAGGACAGGTTCAAGTGCAAAATATTAGTTTAAATGTAAAACAACATTCAAGAATGCAAAAGCTGCAATTGGCAATTAGGTCTTTAGAATTGAAGAAACTATGAGGTCCATGAAAAGTGAACAAGTTATGTTGAACAAATTAAAGGAAGAAACTCAAATGGATAAATAGTGAAAACAAGGCGTACAAAATCATTGAACTAGACAAGGAAGCTGTTGGTTCATTGACATCTTTACACCAAATGTCATAAATCTAACACCCAATCCCCTCAGCAGCCCTCCATCCCTGGATTGCAATCAAAATTATTCAAGTTAAGTGATCGAAATCAAAACCGAGTCATAAACTAGTCAGTGGTACTGAAAACTCTATTATTTGTCCATCTATGATATACCCCCAATAACTTTGAAAATATCCATTTTCTTCCAAAAAGTATCAATTCCCTAAACACCAAAAAATTGAAGGCAAAGCAAGAATTCAAGAACCAATAACCAAGTTTGACAAAATCCTTATCTCTACAAACATAAATCAAAGAACCTAAGGGTAGCAGCAAAGAGAGCAAAGGCTCAGACTTGAAACAGAGGACAGAGGACTCCATAATTTTTTTTTTC